AAAAAGGGGAGCAGCTGAAGCGTTCCCTATAATGCTTAATTCTACTTTGCTCAATGGAATAGAAAGCCTTACCAAACATACTACTTGGTCCATCTATCTCAACCATTCAGTCTGATCATATTTACACTACATACTATCATCTCACAAATTAAACTCCATCCTCCCTCGTTATAAATGTCACACAATTTTTTACTCTTAAACAGTGCACATATACATACACACAAATTTACATATATATCAATTATAAATAACCTTGACGGAAATAAAATGACATTAACTTGTTCAGACCTTTTTTTGATAGGTCAAATATCATTCTTATTGCTTCATTGTACTATTTAACCTTGGATAAATTTTAATTTGGTCATTTATTCTCTGAAGTATTGACTTACACTGAGTCACAAAACGTCAGAAAACTTAATTTTCTACTCTTCGGGATATTACAGATATATTATTGTTTACTTAAAGAGGGATTATTTTGACTAACAAAGGAACTGAAATACTAGTTTCAATAATCATCGGACGTATAACGAAAACTCGTGAACTGTAAACACGAGAAAATCAGGCTGACTTCTTACTTTATTATGGCTGTATCGACCACACCATCACCATTCGTCAAATTCTAAGACAAATGCATGCTTATAGACGTCCGACAATGATGTTTTTTCTTGATTTCAAAGCAACATTTGAATCTGTAAATCATGAGATTCTGTGGCACTATCTAGCATTGAAAGGCCTATCTTAGAAGCACATAAACATTGCCAAGGCTCTTTATTCGAACACTAATAGTCGAGTCAGGGCATATGGCGAACTGTCATCTCCTTTTGCAACTTCAATTGATGTCCTTCAAGGCTGCATGCTTTCTCCACTCTTGAATAACTTCATCAAGTACGTCCTGATGAAATGATATTCTAGTCGATTGAATTTTGTGCATTGATGTCCTACAAGGAAGTCCACTTATCAACATGGAATACGTAGATGATATACTCATAATTGGTGAAGTCGCTGAAAAAACGCACAGTCTGCTGGTGGCACTGAGCAACAACGCCAGAATATTTGCAGTATTATGCTTCCTACAATTGATGTTTGCAGGTTAAGGATGAATTCAATATTATATTTAGTCACTTCTTCGTTCGAAATAACACCAGAATCTGTGTTGTATTGTTCAATCATTGATGAGAACACGACAATGCATGTAGGTTAAAATACATTATATTAATATAAAGCTTTACAGAGTAGATGATGAGATTAAAACGATTCACTGAAATTGACAGACTTTGAACAGCAGTGACCATAAACTCGGAGACGTATGAATTTACATATTAAGAGAATGTTTTTAATTGACATTCATTAACTCATTCAACATTCTATCCTCAAAAAGAATCATTCTTGACGATTCTGCAATTGTACATAAGTCTGTCATTGATCATTGGAGGAGAAATCGTTTTTTATTTGTTGATTGATTTTTAAAGAAGTTATCCACATACAAATAAACAACACAAAAAACATAATATGTTTAAGTAGTCAACGGATTAAACAAGTTGACAATGTGTGTTCCGTACGACGTCAATACTCTGTAGAGTCTTTCATTATACATTGAGCTTATTAAAGCAACACGATCATTCATCATTTTAATATCGTTGTGCTATTACGTATTTGTTCAAGATGAACTATGAGTTAATTCAGTTTGTTCTATTTCTAATTGAATGACATATTATACTGCTCATTATAAAAAGAGCTTAACCAAAGTTTAATAAAAAATAAATACCCATAATTTGAAAAAGTGGATTCAAAGTAACTGGTGAATACCACTGTAAATTTGTGTAATTTTACTTCATCATTTTTACTATGAACATCAGAACTATTCCAAATAAGTTTTTTTCATTTCTTTCGAATAGTCTGAATTAGACATGAATTTAGACTTGTTGATAAGTCGTATTACAAGTAGTAATGATGGTTGCGTTCGACGTTTTAGGCTAACAACAATACAGAACACTCAATCCAAATGACTTCAATGAGTTTTTATCACAAACAGGATAGAGATTTCCATGTTCTTGTGACTCATTCTTCGAGAGTATACTGAACGTGAGAGATATGATTTAAATTGACGGTAAATATTTGTTATTATATTACTTGTCAGCAATTTGCAAGATTTTCAATGTCTATTGAAAACCATGTTTGTGATGATCTCAAACGATTCACCACACTTTCTACTCGCAGTGAAGAACGTTATTGTGTAGCAGGCAATATACAAGAATCAACAACTCATCAATGTAAATGTCGAGCAATGCAAAAGTAATTTGGTCGGGTGGAAAACGTTCCTCCCTTTCAACAGCACAGGAGAAGATGAAGAGAAATTAAAGGAGAATCTTAAACCACGACAGCTGATGTTTACTATCATTTTCATTACGGAATCTTCAATAGTACAAACTTCATGGTGTTACATCGTATTGTTTGAGTGTTATTCGTGGTTTAGGCTAAAGCATGTCGTTTGATTTTTTAATAGGTTTAGGTATGAGACCAATAAAAACATAGCATCGTTCACTGAAATACAAAAGCTCATTCATTTCAAGAGATTATGAATAGATAGTAATTCTCAGTCCCAATGCACACAGTGTGATCATCAGAATACTTAACAAAATGGAAAGTCGATTATGTTTTGTTTGTATGACATTCACGTTTTACCTGAGCTCAAATAACGAAAAATATTTCATCGAAAACGAAATATCCACACATAAGAAACAAAATAATACCATGGAGTATTATTTATTGCGATGAATGATTTTGTCAGCGTTAAATATCTTCACTGGAGTGAGTGCACATAACGTTGATGACCTGAAACCACCAGATGCAGTGACCAATAAAAGTGAATCTAATGAGATCAATTTTCTTTGGACTTTTTCTTTTTTATTCAGCTCGTAATAATGATACAGCAAACCAATCAGATGAAATTCTGAATCTGTCCATGAATACAGACTTGCTGAAATGCAGTGAAAACGGAAAGGAATAGGCATTTGAATAGATATTAAAGGGTTCGTGAATCCATGAAATTGTATATCGTCATTAGTGTATTGTAAACTCCTTCTTATTTCAGTCGAAATTAAAATTACTGATTTTTGTATGTGAATTTCCAAATATGAATTATTCACAAATCTTCATTGCAGACATTTCAACGACGATGAAGTTCTCATTTCATATTGCGTCAACGGAAAGCAGTTTAAAAAAACCTAGTTGAATGTAAGACATTTGTCATTGCATTTGATAGACTCAGCTTTGAACGCATCCGATGTTACTTTCAAGTACTGGATGATCCACTTGTTCTCACTGGTCTCGTTTTAATGTAAGTAATAGATGTTTATATAAATGTATTCACCGGAAATCCTAGAGTTGATTTTTTTTGTATTACCATTTTAAATCATTCAAAGAACTAATCATTACACTGTGATAAGAAATGTGATCCATGTTTGACTAGAAAATTATGATTGAGAAAAATGAAAATAAATCATTTCTTCATAGTGCACGGCATTGTTATTCTGTGTTGCATCACATCATAGCAAATGATCATACTGAAGTGTATTTATATATTTATTTCAACACACAAATATTGATAAATGGGGAATCGAAAACATATGCGCCACACAATTTACTTGATTTGTGTGATCTGTGACACTTCCTGAACGTCCACACTGAAACAGGTGAATTTCTTGCAGTTTTACTCCCGAAGCCCTCAAAATAAACGTCTTATCCACAAGGCAGTGAGACAACGTAGTGAGATCCAGTCCCATGTTAGTCAGTGACCGATAATGGATTCATACGCCTATTCTTCTTTCGGGATCCTGGAACCCATGTTCACCATTGGTTTAGAATCAGTATTTTATAACCTAAGCATGTTAACTCTCCGCGTCAGCTTACCTGATTAAAGTGCCAGTTATTCGCTCTTCGTCATGTGGATTTCGTAAACAAAACTCCCACCACGAGAGTCCAGTGTTTAGTACTTCTCTGACAGTGGCAGCATGTGCGTGTTTCTGTGAAAGCATTTCGAGAGGAACAGACTATTCTCGCTAACATCGAGCGAACCAGGTCGTTTTAGGGATAAAATAAGATATCTAAGACGACCAGGCATCAATTATTCCTTTCATTAAGTATTTCGACAATTTTAACATAATTTACAGATTGTTTAACTGACTAGTTGAGGAACATCTTCAACCAGAATATGTAGTACATGGATGCACATTAGTATGGTCTAATGTAACTGTGCTTTAGTAAGAAGGATATTTCTTTTTTTTTCCAGATTTATTGGATTATTTTTTAGATTATTAATAATAATCATTAGAAAATTACGGTCTACATCTACAATAAACAGTAACTTCATCGTTATAACCGTGGGTTGAATATTACTTAGAATGATAATCATGATGGTTTCATCTAACTATTGATTGAATTCTCTAAGGTTTTCTTTGTTGAATCATGAAAATGTTGTCATATTAGTTTGATAATGGCTAGCATGATAGAACAATCCTTGTACTCTCATCTAGGTTTGTTGTTATAACAATTTGTGAGATACGTAGCGAGTTGTAAACACAAAATACATAAACACATTTGATTTCTCTCATATTAATTTGTATAACAATACAAACAATTTATCTACCACTGAACGTGTGTTCTATGATACACAAGTTATCATCTAGTGCAGCATGTTGCAGACATTACTGGCTGTTTTAGTTCTTGAATAGCCCGAGTTAGTGTAGTTCAAACCATTTAGGTGACAAACCCCACATAATGAGGTCATGTGTACTAGATGAGCGAATTAGCTATGAAGTTCGTCATTTTTATAGAACTGAAAAGGGAGTCTTTTTTTATGTGTTTGCATCCATAAATTTAAGTTTCCCAGGATTTCAATGAAATACAGAACAGTGAAAATTATTATTCCATTATTTGCCTAGTTGTTAACCGGTTTAAAGTCTGAACTAGCGGTAATTTAAAACTAACTTCTTCCTTTTCAGATGATAATTATGATTGTTGGTTTAGGTTTATCAATTTCATGTGCAAAATGGTACGAACTAATAATTTCTCTATCTGCGGCTACCGGGTTTACCATCGTAGCCATTTTTATGTGGATAAGGCTAGAAAATATAGAAAACAAATTCAGAATGATATTGTTCATGATATTTTGTGTAGCTACAGTAATTGGATTGATTCTCTTTCTTATCGGGTTGATATTTGAAGACGTAAGTTGATGTATTCATATTTGTTTCCTAAACTGGTAGTGATTATTGATTATTTTTGACTAGTTAATAGTTTTTTCTAATAGCTTAAGTCATCCTTATAAACCCGTTGATCACGAAGACGGATAAATTTTTCCTACACAGCAGTAGAAATACATTTGCAATTCATATTACAATGAAGAATATTCCAAACAAATCTCTGTTTCTAATGCATGTACAACTGCGTTGAATGTTTATTCGCATCAGTTTGAGGTCATTCTAAGTAAAAATTTGTTTAACGCCATGATTTTGTCATCACGCACACAATGCAAAATGAAACCAGTTTATTTTACACATGGATTGAAACCAGAGAACGTCTGCAATCTGATGTGGAGTTTACACTGCATGTTGTTGATGCAAAGCATCATGAATTAAACTTATCATTTGAGAAGTTGATTCTCAGTTCTATCTATATATTATGATTTTGTAACCAAATGGTAATTGCAGCGACACCAGAACAACACATCTTCAAACAACGATCTTAATCGTTTCGTGATACAATCGTTGAAGAAACTTGTTCGTTGTGTAGACATATGTCAAGCATGTGACAAAACACGTAAATGATGAAGAAATTCGGAATGACGAACTGAAGAACTTCTACGTGAAGTGGTTCATATTACTTTAAAATCGGTAGAGTTGACCAGTTGAGTAATACTGTTTCTTTACTGATATTCATATAGATTCATAATGAATTGAGGTGTATTATTATTTCAATTCCTTCATTCTAGCGTGTTTTACAAAGTGATGCCTGTATTTGTTGGTGCTGCGTTGTGTTTATTGTAAGTTCAGAATAAATATATAAATGTTGATACAAATAACCGCCACTGATAATTATTCATCCAAAGATATCATTCTATAGAACTTAGAACATTGATGCATTGTTGGTTTGTGTACACACCATCCACAAAAATTCATCATGATACATTTGGAAGAAAATATTTTGAGATATGTAACTGAATGGTTGAAAGGGAGACAATGAAATGTTCAGTGGCTCAATTTATGCAAACGATATTCTGTCAATAATTGACAGATTGAAGTGCAAAGCACTTAATTTTTATTTAATTGTGAATGTTGAAAAAAATAGGCTGGTAACCCTAAATCTCTATAGACTTATTACTTCATTGGTGCATATGCTTATATGAATGAATCAATAATAATGTAATCATATACGTTTTCATAATTACAGGGGATTATATTCGCAACAGATTATCTGCACATACACCGTGGACAGTTTTCTAAAATGTACGTTATATTCGTATTGTTTTATGAATGTTTTTTGCTTAACATCACTTCAGATTTTTTTGTTAGTTTACTCTTCGATTGTAATTGGACCAGTGTGAACAATTCATTTAATCCCGAACCACAACAACTGAATAAAACAATCATTAGACATGATGAACGGATACTATTTGGGTGAATTTCTTAATTAGTTTCTAGATATGTTGAAGATCATTGAAAACTACTATCTTATTTATAATAGATGTTCTGTTAATAAGACGTTTGCCTGATCGATTAAACTTTTGGATTGCGAATATTCTAATAGAATGCTGGTAGACACTGAAACACATTCCAATTGTATTTGAAATTCAAACAAACTCAATTGACTGGAACGGTCGTATTTTCCAACTACACACATTTCGTGACTATGACACCTTGGACGCTTGATCCCTACCAAGTTGAAATGAATATATAAAAGACTTGATAAAAGAATTAACTTCCAGACAGTGTCGATAACTCTATTGGTTTCACTATTGTCTCTCGATACCATTCACATCTTCAAAATACAAATCATATAACGTTACAAATTATTTATGTCCATAGAGTGGTTCTATAGAGTATTGAATGTTTTGATTGAGACATAAACCGATTTATGTTGGATCATCCTGTAAAAAGTGGAATCTATGTATGTCCTGTCGGTCCTATTTTGTGACTCCTCGACAGTACGCAACGGTCGTCTGGTGACTTCAGGTTTTTAAAGATGTTTTAGCATCAATCGGTTAATGATCGCGATCGAAATTATTTATTTTTTGATGGTTCGCTAGCTTTCAGAAATACTTTGAGTATGAAGAATGAACAGAATTTCACGTCAGTGTTGAAAGTAGTGTCTAGTAACTCACCTTCACCATTACAGAGATATTGAGTCAAGGTGAGTTGTCAAGAGGGGTAATCAGCAATAAATGTAAGTTCCTGGATATTGAGGAATTGACAGAAACAGTCCTTGAGTCGTCTTGTGTGTATATTACTTCGTTATCTTCAGTATCACGAGAACGAATTGACACAGTTGAAAAAACATTACTACATGAGCCGAGAAAGTGAATGTTTGCAAATTACAGGAGATCACTATTCAAACGTGCGAAACATTATCAAAGGCGTTGTAAAAACACACAGATTGAATTGCGTGGGATGAATGAGATTGTATATTGTCTGCCCGAATAAAAATACTAATTTCAGGGGGGCGGTTGATGATCGTAGTTATTACGATTGCGTTTGGCTTTCTTTGTCCAGACATTTGTTTTGGCAGTTTGAATTTACATCATGTCAGGGCTGCTATTTTAGTGAATTATTATGTTGTAATTGTTGAGTGGAAGGATTCTTGGCTTACTGTTTGTTCAGTGATTCCAGTAATGCTGCTGAAAATTGTTGATTTCAATGTATTTCCTTCTTTATAAGGACGCTGACATTCCGTCTACCGAAAGCAGTGTCAAAATCACATATTCACACTCATATTTAACATTGATTTGACGTAAATTGTTCGCGAAATTCAATAACGTTAGTATGTTTTCTGAATGATAATAAGAGTTAAATATACATAAATGTATCAGTATTGCGACATCAGGTGTATGTTAAACATAAAACATTTTGACTATGATAATTATAAGATATACTCTCAAATAACAGTATGCTAGATGAGGCGTGCTAATCAACACGCATGATCTATTTCTTTAAGTAAATCGTCTTGATTGTATTGGTTCACTCAATTAGTATAATATTTTAAAGGACCCAATGATTAAAGTATTATGGCGAATAACAATTCTGATATGTGAATGCAACTAATGTTTGTAAGACTCATCTTGTCAGTGCGAGTTTTAGCGCGTTTTTTGGAGGTTGCGTTGCGACGTGCAACTGATGATGCAGAATAGATCCACGAAACGTTCGGTGCTTCTAGAAACCTCAACGCTATATCTATCTGGAATATATTAGGCTTTGATGATGTTGCAAGACGAATTCAACGGTTCTATATCTGTTTTCTTTAATATATCTCAAGTAGTCTGAAAAACGTATGAGCTTAAAGGGAATAATGAGATTACACATAGTTGAGGGATGGTAAAGTTATTACAAATCAAAGCATATGAAAGTGTATAAAATTGTAAATTTTTAGTTTGAGAAAAATAAAACATTGAGCAACGCACAAGAAGTTAGGACATTTTGAGCTACTTATGGTCAGCCTTAGTGGATCGGCATCTATGATATTAGTCAGTAATTTGTCTAATCGTAGTGGAGTAAAAAGGACACGACACATAATAACAAAAATACAATTATGACCGCTAGCGAGATCGTGAATCTGGAATTTTGAAGTAGAAGCATAGGGGCATAACCAATAATCATTGAGTAATGGGAGAGAGTAAACTATGTGCCCTATCGTTCGGTCATATGCATATTAAGGACTGTTGTGGTTCGTTATATTCATGATCGGTATATATATTAGGCGGTCTATAATAAAGTTCCACATTGGTGGCGTAAGTTCAGAGAACAGTTGATGAAGCTCTTTAGTGTCAAGTAATAGTGTTATTAGACTTTGAAGTTGGTATTAGTGTTATTGGAAACGTATTCTATAATAAAGTTTAACGCAATGTAAAAACTGACAACACAATGGTTTTCGGGGTTTTACTGAAAGCAATGTATATATGTTGTTTCAGAGTCTGTAAACTGTGTCCTAGATGGTGGTTGGGCAGGACGTGAGAAATGTGGGTGTTTTTACTGCTTTATAAAGAAATAATAGAATGAATTTTAGCCTACGGTGCCATAATGTTAGCTAAGAGTGGAGTTACATCCAAGCAGTCAGTGTGTGAAGCGTCCTTAAACAACTACTCTTATCTCGTCTGTGGTATTCGTATTCGTGAAGATCAAATAGCAATATTTCATGGAGGGTTGTAAACATATTTTTTGGCAAGTAGCATATGCCTCTGTTCTGAAGAAAATTTTCGCTATAAAACCAATCCGCCGTCTAGCTTGGGATATAATAAAGGGAACACATTCATCAACCTTCAGGCTTCTAGTGTAAGTAAAACATAGATCATGCATTGATATGAGTGTTTGAACTTTAATTATTTATATTCTGCTCAATTCAAAGTGCAAAGGGATATATTCACAAATGTGTAGTGACACTGCGCCCTAACAACATGATCGTCAAAGTTGAAAACGCGACGGTTGTTTAGTGAAGAGAAAAACGATCGAAGGGAAAGGCTGGAAGAACAAACTGAATTATTTGAACTGATCGGCTCACTCCGCCCGGAGCCTCCTCTGCGACCACTGCCGGTCTCGAACTCGGGCAAAGGAGGAGGGTTTGATACAGGACCAGCGATCACATCCTGTAGAAAACGAAAGCCCTTATGAGATGGTAACCAGAAAAATATAATTCAAGACATTAAAAATCTGTCCTCGAATTTCTAACGTCTTCATTTAGAAGAGTTATGACGCCTCATGGTGAAAGACGAGTTGCTTTGAAAATGAGGTGGCTTATACCTGTTTTGACAACCAGAGCAACAATTTGTATAGGTAAGTGGAACTTACAGACAATGTGGGAGACCAGGAGAACCAGTCAAATTGCAATGGAACTGAGGAAATAAAACGTGGCCGTAACGTCATGTGCACAAAGTTTTGCTTATCAAAATCATCGAATTTTATTAAAAGGAATGTAGATAACATTACAAGTAGGGAGAAATTACTAAAAGTGCTTCTCTCCATACATTCGAAAACGTGCCAGACTTTCATGAATACAAGTAATTAATCACGACATATCACAAAACTAAATTATAAAGTCACCTTCAACGAATTATAAACCCAGTGGAGTTTCAATGATATATTCATTTATTATTATTTCCATTATCGGATGTTATATTATTGTTACTATTTAAAGTTCTCAGGAATCATGTGGGCGAGATTCTATTTTATGGACGACCTTTTAACGAATCTAAAGTGATCGTGAGAAATATTAGTCAATAAGCGAATAGTCAGTGTAGGGTCAAAATATAGTACAAAACCAAAGAAATAAAGTGAATACACTTCTTATACGTCGTTCAAAAGCTTTCCAGGTCTAAAAAGAGGTTCAGAGACTTTAAATCGTAATGCATGCAGAAGAGGAATTCATCCATATGGCTACAGAATATTCTAACTCTAGTGACATGATTAAGTCTGAAAAACTATTTCATCATCGACCACGTAGCATTATCATTGCCTGTGTGCACCCCGGTTGTTGAGTACACAAAATGCCACTTGTGAATACCGACACGATGCAAAAAACCAAGCATATGAAGGAGTCTGTACACTCTCCAATCAATCTCCAATATTGTAACACAGGGCTGAAGCCGGTGTTACTGGTGCTTTTTTTATTTAGTTGTCAATAATTGTCGTAAATTGCCTTAGTTGAGAATTATATATAAGGTTTTCACTACAAACTTACATCAGTTATCATAACAAAAATCTATTAAGCCAAATGGATGGAAGGTGAACGCGTTACACTTTACGTTTATTGCACGCTGGGATGATATCTCAAGTAATAGTGAGCTTGATCACATAGATGATTGTTTTCAGATAGACCGTTAGTGTATAATTTACTGAAGAAAGGTGTGTTGTACTGTAAGCTATTTTTTTAATAACAACTAACTGATGTTTTCAGGGAGAAGGCAATTTATATACTTTGTCTTCTGTTAGGTAAGTTCGATCAGCCTATATTTCGTGTTTTCTTATTTTGGGCTGAAGTAAGTCCACTTAACTACTTTGAGCAACATGTCTGTGCAAATGAAACAATAATTATGACACTTAAGTGTCATTGGAGTCCCCTGTTCCCAATGAGTATACTGATTCAAATCAGTCTGATTAAAAAATAGAAAAAAACTTGCCTTTGATGCTGTTTCTGTCATTCATTATAAGATAGAGATAATTATGTTTACTGTTTGTTTCTGGACTTTACATCTATCGCTGACCATATTTCATCAAAACTGTCATTAAACAATTTCCTCAGCAATAACATTACTAGCAGGATAGCTAAGAGTTTGAGCTTTTTGGTTGCTCGCAAAACAGCAGTATGCAGTCTTAGAAGATGAGTGTTCTGTGTCTCAATTAAATGCAGCTGGCTGTGGACAAATGTTAAGAATCTTTTTGACAACTAGGACTTTTAGTTTA